CATTGATTCGCGAAGACTCGTTAGAGAGAAGTGACACAAAAAGCCATTTACATCTTTTCACATTGTTTTACATGCCAAATCATTTTTTCAATCTAAAATGATTATTGTTTTAAATAAAAGAATATAATGTACAAATGTGTCTCGATCTTTTAATTTCATAGAATAAATTAGTTATGTCGCGATGTCGCGCATGTCTCTTTCAACCTTTTTCTCTCTTTTTTTATCCCTATCTATTCAAAATTGACTTGTATAAAACTAAGTATAAGTAAAATAAAAATAGCATGAGTTATTCGCCATGACAGCGAGGAAAGCTTTGTCGAAATTATTCTCTTTTTTTCTCAAGGGAAATGGCAAATAACTTGCTCGAAGATCAACGTTCGTTTCTTCCAGAAGATGTTACTTCAAAACAATTTAACTAATAATAAGCGAAGAAAAATCAATATTTTTTATTTCTTGTCCTTTTTTTTTGCAAACTCAACGACACAGATTTCGATTGGTTACATACATCGAGTGAAAAGGCATTGGTATTTCGAGTGTCAAGGCAAACGTCACAGAACTCTTTTTTTCTTTTTCTATTTATATACGATTTTCTGTCTACAACCGCACTCCTACTCGATACAAAAAATGAACGGAAAGTTAACCAATAGCATATCAAAAAGTAAATGCACGAAATATTACGATAAGTCAACTTAATTACAATACAAGCAATGAATATCCTTTTACATTTCGACGAGAGATTGAGACTGCGATAATTCGACTGTTTCGCTTTAATGTCCATTTTTCTCCTCTTTATTTCTTTTATCAAATTATCGTAACAATTATTCTTTGATGATCGATCATGATCAACAATTAGAACTAATCGAGATCGAGTTAAGTCGAACGAGAATAGAAATAACAAAGAGAATATATATAACATATATATATATTATAACAAAGAGAATATATATACATTTATAAAAAAAAAAAAAAAAAACCGATTGATATTTTGAAGGCTTTCTGAACGGAAACACACATATAACTATATATGCATTTGTTATGTTCCGTAAATCATACAAGAGCAATTCGAGATGGGTAATTAATTGATCGAGTAAAACACGACATTTATGTAGGATCGATCGAATAAGTGGATGTTAGCGGATATATGTAAACATTGAACGATCATTGTAACGATACTTGGGACGGGAGCAATTAATGTCGTTCTGCCAATTGGCGAGAAACTCGACCATTTGTAGATTTTAGCTATCCAACTTGCATTGTTATATACAAATAAATGTATCGTACGCACAATTACATATATATATATATATATATATATATATATATATACATGCAATTATAAAACTGGCGTTATTAAATTGATGTTCGACTTTTTTATCTCGCGCGCAAAAAAATAACGCATTAATTTGACTGTCTCTCTTATACTCGTATAACTTAATTAATTGATTCATGCGTTAATCATAACTGCGTACTCTTGCGATGGCTAATGTCACAATAAATTGATAAATGACATTACGATTCGTGATAACAGAGATCGAGCACGAAAATAGAACATGGAACCCCCTCTCTTCCGCCAAATGTCACAGGATTAATTAAATCCTTAGATTGAAGATGCCGCGACAATTCTATTACATCTCTTCGCCTCTTCTATTAGAATAGGAAACGAATAAGCGCGTTCAAAGAAATTTAATCGCGCAAATACAATTTTGTCACAAATAACGATTAAACTAATTTTCTCGCAATCAGGCGGAAAAGTCGAGAGTTAAATCGAGTGTGAGAAAAGCGATGCAAAGATCGACGCTGATAAAAGACATTAATCTCTTTAAATGCTTCTCATTTCCGACCTCAAACTTTTGCGACAGCTAAAGACTAGACGGATTAAGAGATTTTCCAGCGAGAAACGTTCACATTCAAGATGCTTTGCAAAAAATGTTTCGGAAAAGGAAAGAAGTGTATTTTTAAAATGCATACATAAATATTCGCATATTCGTTGAGTTCGGATCGTTAACGAAGAAAATTCGTTAATGAGACTCTTCGAAGCGGGAAAACACATAGAAAAAGAGCAGAAATATATGTATAAGTGAATGACAAAAATGAAAGTCTTTACAGAAGCAAGCGTGCATACATACGTCTTTGATCGCGGGCGACCCGTTTTCTTTTTGCAAACGACCTCTTTTGAATTCGCTTTGATGATAGTAGTTTTCGAGTTACGTCGAGTCTCGAGTCGCAGTAGCGGCTCGAAACCCCATCTACGTATATGTATACGGTCCGCATTAACACGCGTTCTCTCTTGCCCGCTCGTTGTATATCCCGGGAGAAAAATAAGATTAACCGGGAAGGGACGCAAACACGTTTCGCTCTTGTTTTCTGCCGCATTAATGCATGCGAGATAAGTGCAAAGCGCTCTGTCGCTCTGCACCGAGCGCAACCAACGCTCCGGATTTGCATAATTCTTAATAACTGCCCTCGCACGTTCGCGTGTGGCTTTTTCGGTTGAATGTCCGATACATTACGCGCCTCTCGCGATCATTACACACGCGATACGTATATGCATATATACGAGACGCGCAGCGAGATGAAATATATGCATGCCGGCGCAGTCGTTAATTATTAATAGCGAGATTATAATTACATCGAGACTGTATTCTGGCTACCGAATGAGCCGGAGAAATGTCGGATTCATTCGAAATTAGATTGAATGCCTGGGCCATTTGTCGCGCTCATTCGGTGCGCTCGCTCTCTAATAATCGTCGCTTTATCGCGACGAATAATGCGAAAATAATCATATTATGTGTTACATGCGACACGGAAGAAAAGCGTCGAGCCAACTTTCGTTTATGAATAATGCACACTCGCGTGCAACTTTTATTTTAAACGATCGTCGCTTCTGGACAGATTTCCGCCAATAATTTATCTTATCTGCAAAGAATCTCCGACCGTACATGTATATATATATATATACATTTCTTGACAAATCTCTGTCCATATTCTATCTAAACTTTGCGAGACGATTAAATCCAAAAATTGTATATAGACGGTGCATAATTTAAGTAAATGGAATTAATAAATAAAATTCGATAAGTAGAAATTTTTCAAATAAACATCGCAAAAGTTCTAAAGTCAAAGTGTCATATAATCATTTTATTCTCGCGAGCAGAAATATGCAAATATTAATTTTGCGAAGAATGTTTGGTAACACGTAGGCTTTCCGATATTTTAAAAGTTTCGAACATAGGAAACCTATAATTGGACCTGAGGGACCTATGGCTTTTTTTCGTGGCGATCGCGAAAATATAAAACTTCCGCGAGAGTACACATAGGAGATCGATACACGTTGCGCCCGCACAGACTGTAACCTTTTTTGCTTTTTATTCGAGAGACTGTAGAACAATAAGTTTTGTTTCATCGCGACTGAAGCTATTTCAACAGTGTGTTACAAATTTTGAGTATATGTGAATTTTTATCAAATTTGCATTCTTCATAACAACACCATTTTCTTCTATGAGAAAAATATAACGAAACAATAGAAATGTTAATTGTAGTCCAAGTATATGAAATGCTTTGAATTTTCCGACGATAAACTATATAAGCTGGATAAATTTCATCAAAGGATATCGTTACCGACGTGTTACTGATCTTACATAGAGTAATTACTCGCAGTAACTGATGTTACTAAATAAAAGAAAAAACTGTAGCACAACTAACGTAAAACTTTGTGTGAATTCAGAAACAAGACCTCCCGTTGTTCACGCATGCTTGGGTTCATTAAGTCGGCGAACTCGGAATGTTAAACTTATCGCACATAAATGAATCCTTTGTTATATAAGTTGTCTAATTAGTGTAAGAGCAAATTTCAGACATACGTATGTATGTGACAACGCAATTAACGTTTTTTGTTTTACAATTAAAAAGCTATCGTGTTTGAACTTCTTTTTAGTTTGTTGAAACTTCTTTGAATGCAAATTAAATTCTACACAAGTTTTCGCCCTCAAATTCATAAAAGATGTAATTAAAATACAAATTAAATAGAAATCACTAATCGATTAAATACGATATTATATAAAAATCGTGCGAGCAAAGTCACGCTTTATATTTGAAAACTTAAAACTAGTTTTATCAAATTATATATAAATTTATTATTTATTATTTAGGAAATTAATTGGAGTAATTTTTCATCTCACACACTTGAATAATTGATAATCTACAAATATATTATAATTCATTAACTTGTCGGCATATTCATGTATTTATAGATTCTAAAGCCGAGCTTAAGCGCGCGCATATTCTAAAACAGCAGGGACACAAGAGACATTAATATGTGAGTACAGCAGTCGTAAACTCGCATAACGATAATGTAACCACGTTACATCTTGCGGCGAGCTCTAAATTGCTAATTATCCTTCGGGATAACAAAACTGCATAACGGGAAAGCCTCAGAACGGCACGAATGTGTTGTCGCGTGAATTAAGCTCACGTAGTTGTAAATTAAATCTTTGGCGAAAATAAAATCAAAACGACGATTTAATTCGGCAAAAAAATTATAAAATTTAGTATAATATGGCTGAATAAAAACAGAAAAAGTTGAGAATAAAGCTTTCATAGAATTTTTAATTTTTATTCGCGATAGCTGAATTAGATTAAATTTCGGAGCATTCGGAGCATTCGGAGCATTTGAACGAGCTAAACACAACAATGACTTATAATTCTATTTATAAAGACGCGTTTTAAAAATAAAAATCTAATTTTGTCGTTATTTTAATTTATACTTTTCATTGATAAAAAAAGAAGGGACGCTGCCATCATCGTTTCGTAAATTTTAATTCAGGGTACCTTATTACCGCGCGGATCAACCTTTTCATTTCGTAAGATTCTTGCGATAAGCGTCTCGCACGTACGAAATTATCATTGTTACGTGTTACTATTGTACGCGCACGTTATATTCACGTGCATTTATTATTCCATTACCGTACATATATTCGAGACATTATCGCGTCTTCACTCACCGATCACGTAACTGTATCCGTCCAAGGTTAATACACACTTGCGTGTATTCGGCGAGGATGGAATGCACGGCACTTGTCTCCGTGAGATCCGCCTGCTTAGGCTGCATGAAGCGCCGGCTGCGCCCGGATCCGAGTGGCACTTCTGCACCGGGTCCTTGCCTGATCTAGACATTGTTGTCAATCCCGACTACCGAGCCTTATTTCCTCGATATTTCTCGTCGCCGTATGCAAGCATACGAGACTCCATTATTCTCTCCTATATAACGCTACGCGGTGCTTTGTTAATTTTATATGTATGCTTTCACATTATCCTGCCGTTGATGCACTCCCTTAAGTTCCAGCACCGCGACGAGGCTCCGATTTACTCGCGATCCTCTTTTTCTCGTTCGACATCGCATCGATATAATCCGCGCGTTGCACAGCGTCTACGTTTTGGCCATTTCTCTCTCCCTGAGATTTCAAACTTTCTTCGCGAAGCTATGAAAGAGAGAGGTCTTTACGATTCGAACAACGAGGTCGTTAACCTTTGCACTTTTGTTCGATGCATTTGGAGATAATGTCAACTGCGCTTTCATGTATTTAAAGTGTACATTATCGTCCGTCCTTTCAAAATGATGATTACCAATTTAATTTCCAAGTGCAAATAAAAGTTCTCACACCGCTCGTCTTAAAAGCGCGTAAAAAAAGATCATATCACAGAATGAATTTGTCTTTGTCTATCGTCACTAGCCATGATACTACCGTAGTATACTGATATGTATTTAAGAACGGTTAACGCTTTTTTTTTGCGATTCTCCGTAAGAATAAAAATCTGTCGCGTGTTCGATCAATTTTAATTTTAATTTCGTTCGATCTGACCGTCCTGCGGAGTAGGAACGAGCATTTATCACAATTCCGTCCAAGTTTCGATCGTATCCTTTTCAATTATAGTGCTTCTCTGTCGCAATCGACAGCGCGTAATTGCCGGCCGGTGATTCTCGGAAACGACGGATACGTCGTATTCATGATACGCAGCAAAGTCAACCCTTTTCATTCACTTCTCTCTCTCTCTCTCTCTCTCTCTCTCTCTCTCTCTCTCTTCACGTGTCCTTTCGCGAGAGAACGGAAACTTCAAAACCGGGCAAGAGTTTTTCAAAAAAAATCCAGCACTCGCAACCGTAGAAAAATGTCGACGTTGTATATTAAAATATTCGCTAAAATTTGACGAATTTCGAATCCACCTCGACAGATTCACTCGCAACTCGCAACACGTTCGCACGAGCTAAACACGGTTCTCGTAACGTTCGACCGCGAAGTTCTTGCCGTGACAGATGTTATGGAGGGAGAACGAAAATCAAGGCGATCGATTCACGTTACCATAACGTTAACCTCGCAGGTTGGTTACCCGTACACACCGGCGCGCCCAAGCCGTCTCGCTTTCGGCATGCCGTGCTGCACATCACGCACGACTTTTCGCGGGATATAATTCCGTGAGTGCACGACAACGCAAGTATCATCGTGCCTACCTCTGCATTTCTACATAAGCTTTCTTTCGCACATAAGCCTTCTTTTCACGCGATCGAAGTCGACGAAAAACCTTCGAAACGGAACTACCGATTTCCGAAGCTTCCACGTTGAACCCGATTTAAGCGCGTTTTTTTTTTCAATTGTATAATTACGATAAAAAGTGCACCGTTCGTCTCTGCTCCTTCAATTTTTTTTTTTAATTTTCAAATCGGGACTCAACGACGAGATAGAGCACGCAGCGGTCGTGTGGAAAGTTTGGCGCGTTCGCGGTGAAAACGGAAGGCCGGCGCGGCGCGGCCCGGCGCCGGGCAAAATCAGTGGAGGAACCGCGCGCCTGATCAGACGCGCCTAGTCAGTTAAGGAGATCGAGACGCGACGCGACGCGACGGAACGCGGAAGAGGTCACGCGCGCGTGGCCGCGCGACACGCGAGTCACCGGAAGGAAAACGAAGGTGACGCGCATCCGATCTCAGCCACGGTGCCGCTACAACTGAACCACTCGAACCTCCACTACAACCTCCACCTCTCGACGTGTCCGTCCTCCCTTCTCTTCCGTCGTGTCCCGCTCCCGACACCCCGTTTGGCCTTTCTCTCTATCCAACCACCTCTATTCGTTCTCCATCTCTCATCCTCTCGTTCCCTGTTCCTCGTCGGCTTCTCTGCTTCTCTCCCTTCGGTACATCTCTCCTTCCCCCGTCTCTTCACCTCGATCGAGACCGCCTTATTGCCGACGTGCACTTTGCTCTTTCTCCTTCACTTGCACCGCGTACTCGCAGCTCTGCCTGTCTCTCCTTGCTCTCGGCTATGCGTGCATGCGTGCATCTCGATACGTCTCTCTCTCTCTCTCTCTCCGACACTTTCTCCGACATTTATTTCGGCCATGCGTAATAATGCCCGGCCGATGTACGAGATATACATTTTTCTCTCTTTCTCTTCTTTGTTCTGTGTCATCTTCATTTATCCAACATCAGTGATATGGCCAATATGGCCAAAAGATGCTTCAAGTTAATACTAACGATCTATCTGCAGCTGCAGCTTTAAGACGTTGCAATGGATTATCCTTATTTATCTTGAATATTTTTCTCTCCAAATTGACTTAATGAGGACATGAGAGGTTGCACAAATCTTTCTCTCTCATCTTATTTTGTTCATTGTGTTTTATAAAAAAATATTGATACTACATCTCGCAAAGTTTAAAAACATCGTATTAAGAAAATATAACAAGAGGAAGAAATTTTATAAAGATTCTTATTATTTTCTTATTTTTCAATACTTATCCTATATATAATGAACTAACGCGAAGGAGACGCAAAATGCAACGCAAAATGCAACGCAAATGAAATACCGTCATTGGATATGCAGTCATTCGACGCTAGAATTATCTTCGACATTGAAAATCCATGCTGTAAGATCTTTGAAACTCGCTCTCGAATTCGACACTAGCGGAATGTCTTGCGACAGACTATCGCTTTTCTTTTGTAGAATGGCATTCGCTCGTATATCCCGTGTCCCCATTCCTTTCACATACAGCGATAATTCTTTATCTTCTTCGCTGACCGAAATACCAAGGGACACATGAGTTTCGCACGATTAGCCCCTCTACGCGACATTACCGCTATACTACTGGAATCACCCCTTGTTACGTCACAAGAATCGACCATTTAATCAGCCACCTACCCAAGGTGCATTATCTTTGGAGAAAAAGAGAAGGAGCTAAAGACGGGGAAATAAAGAAGAGTCGTAGAAAGAAAAAACTTTTTCAACAAATAATTGACAATATTTATCATTTTTATATTTCGTAGCGTTTGACAAATCTCCAAATGTGAAATCTCAGATGAATCTTAAATGATAATATAAATAACTATGAAGAATGAACAATAATAAAAAGAGCCCAACTCTTCTTTTTCCTTAGATTGCATATTCTTTATAAACGCAAAATGTCTCTTAAAGCGTAAATCTACGTTCCTCTGTGCAAAGTCTTACAACGTACTGAACACCAACCCTCTTTTTTCGCCGTCGGGATTACGACCCTAGAGAGGAACAGCGGATTATAACGAAACGGTATAATAGCGAGACGGACAGACTGTGCACAGTAGCTGGCGTTTATTATAAATGCAAATGCATTCTACTCGCGATATTTCTGTTCCAACAAAGGCAGAGAGAAAGGAAAAGGAGGAAGGGGAGCAATTTCGATTACGGCTATTCGCGCGTGTCTGCGAAAGGGACGTCGATTTAGCGGCAAGATAATCTTACTGCCAAGCCGCTTTCACCCTCTTCAAGACGAACCCCTGCCTCAGAAACCTGCCTGTCTTCTTCATCGTTCCTCCAAATCACTACGAATCTTCTCTCACTCCCTTCCTCTTTTATTTCCTTTATCTCTGTCTCTTACACCTCTTTTCTTCACTCGTCCGATTCTTGTTGTTAGATACATTTGGCTTTCTCTTTTCTTCCCATTCTTTTATTATCCGATGAGATTATTCGCGTGTTGTACAAACGTATGCATTAATTCGACCAGTGCAAACGCGTTGTACGAGTGAATACAGCAGAGTGGTTTGTTAAAGGAGTACTAGACGAATTAATGCGCTCGTTGGGAAAAAGCACGCTGTTTACTTAAAAAATGTAGAGAGAGATTTAGTCGGCAAACTTGTGCGTACAATGTAAGCGAAATTTACCGTCTACGTCTTAGTCTGATAAAAGAAAGAAAAGAAAATGAAAAGAAAAACGGTAACGGATAGAGAAAAGGTGTCTTCGACATACATTCAACGATGGATTGATTTTTGAGACAGGGTACACCTTTCGCAAATACTACGAAGCAGCGCACAAACTTTATTCTACGCCTGTTCCAACGAAATTTCCTTTGATGCTCTGTTCGTGACGTTCAGTAATATACTTTCTAGTTTTCTGGTGTGTGTTTGCTTCTTGTTCAAACTCTTTCTTTCTTTCTTTCTCCGACACAAATAAACATTCTATTTTATATAATCAAAAATTGACTCGTTTACGATCCTCTTTATAATATTTTTTCTTATTTTTAATTACCAATCAAATAATATTGACAAATCTATGTATATCAAAACAAAGAAATAAATTTTAATAAAAAAAATGGAAGAAATTAAAAAAATTAATATTGTTCATAAAGAAATAACAAATAACTATAAAATATTTCTTCTTGAAACATCCGATAAATTCAAATTTCATTCTTCGAAATGATCAAAAAAATTCTCTATTCAAAAACACAGGTTTCAAAAACGCTGATAGACGCCACGAATGAATCGTAAAGTTGTGTACGGGCGATTAAATCAATTTGAGGCAAAAAGTAGGAGCAGAGAAGGGCAGACTGCGGAGGCAGGAAGATACGAGAGGGGAAGTGTAAATCCTGCGGCGATATAAAAGCTGCAAGCGATGCTCCCGACTTTGCCATCACTATAACGCAGTTTATTTTTGCGATAAAAACACGGTGCGCGCGCGCGCGCGCGTTGTTTCTCGATAATGCTAAGTTTCGTCTCTATATTTATGACAGCGTTTAATAACGACGGTAATGCATCCATCAATTTGCTCGTCAAATAGGAGAGAAATGTGGCGGCACCCGGATTGCACCAGATTGAACCGACGTCGAGTCAATTGTAGGGAGATATATATATAACGCACGAATCTATACATTTATATATATTCCTATCCGCGCAACGCGCGTTCTTTGTCGACTTAATCACGCGCCAATTATCGACTATTATCTGCCCGATAATAAACGCTACATAATAGACGGATTCGTCGACGATCCTATTGGTGGTGACGCTTTGTTCGCAGAGATGACGGTGAAACACAATCGTTTTCCCGTCTGCTATGCATTCTCCCGCACTAAACTACCACATTAATTTCGCGAATATATGTGCCGCATATATGTACATAATCGCCGCATATACATATATATACTATATATATATACACACAGTATCCCAGACCTACCGTATCACACGTTAATGGGAGATTCCTGAGATGATTTTTCCTCAGCGATAATGTCCATGCAGGCACCAAGAATTTTCGAGTTATAAACGATTGAAAGTAAAAGCTTTTTTGTAAACTAAGCCTTATAAAAACAATTTATTAACAAAACTACATGTTTTAGTTAATTTCAGATCAAGTTTACTTTAATAGAATTTAAGGCCTAGTTACAAAGATACATGATTTCAAGAATTAGGAACATTAAAAAAATGATGACACTTTCGCTGAGGAAAAATCGTCTCCAAATCGCCTCAGGAATCTTCCATTAACGTGTGATACGATAGGTTTGGGACACTCTACGTGTGTAAAAAAAAATATATATATAGACACACACACATAATATACATATGTATATACAGTGGTGCGAGCAGTAGCATTTTTATTTAAAGCCGCGAAGAGGAAGTTCGTACTTCAAGTTGTACTCAATCATGAACGTCGAGCTTGAGCGAATCTCTTTGACCTCTCGAAAATGCATTGGTCTTGCCGCTAAACGTACACAGCTTAACGGTTAAGGCATTAATCTTCTATAAAAGCAGGATTCCGCTTTTGTTTGCTCTAAAAGCCCGCTGAATGAATGTTTGCCTTCGGCTATAACCGCGTGCCGTGTTCTCCCTCTCTCTTTCTCTCTCTCTCTTTCTCTCTTTTTCTAGCGTAAGCAATTTTTATTCAATTTTTAAAAATTTACCAAAAATTCAAAATAAATATTTCCCTCGAAGATAACAATCATATTGCAATTTAATAACAATAAATACGATTTAATGGTAATAACAATATTCGCGATGGGAGAAAAACTCGAGTGAATAAATCACGGTAATTATAAATGTTGTACAAGCGCTCGATATAATGAAGACACTTGATCCGATAATGTTGCACTTATGAGCATATTATATACATAACGTTGAAAAATATTCATCAATTTTTTACTTAATTAATATATTAATTAATGTTAATATATCGCAAGCTTTTCGAGTGGACGATGCAGTCCAGTTTCTTCCTAAGCGAGCATACACGACGATACAAAATTAGATCAATTAAAACGTTAGGAACAATAGGTGGACTAAATCATTTCCTCGTCCGCAAATGTACCATTCATTAATTTAATTAAATTCTATACATGCGCGCCAAGAGACTCACGGTTAATAGTGGCGCAATAATCTGAGAGATTAAATGTAATATCAAAAAGTGTGCAGCGAAATATTATAACTTTTTTCGTATGTGTGCTCCCTGCGTTTAATTAAAATATTCAAATTAATTAGCGCAAGTTCTCTTGGCCGCGAGAAACTGTCAGAATCAAAATCAGCGCGCGATTTTGACGGTATGAACGCACGTAATCCGAGCTTAAGTCAAAATACACCGCAGTAAACTCTGGCCCAATTTCGTACAACCTAAATTCAATCAAGGTTCAGTAAGCTTCGCACCCTCCTGCCTGCCCTGCCCCCCGTTAACTTTCAATTTACAATTTTAGACCTCGCGCAAGTATT